AAATATATATTTTATAAATTTATTTTATTTTTTATTGCAACATTTCTCATTTTCAGTTTAACATGATGTACTAAAATAACTAAAACTGCATTAACAAATAAATAAATAAATACAGTCATATCTAACCCCCTCAAACAAAAATAGTAAAAATTACAAAAACACACAACAAAATTACAAAAAAGAAAAAACTAAAATATTAAATGAAATCATTTAAAATTAAATTAAAAATGTATTAAATATATTAATAAAAAACTAAAATATGAATGCAAAGTAAAAAGTATCTATTAAAAGTTATATTAAAATAACTCTTATAAGGTTGTGTGATAATGTATGTGATATTTGTTGTTGCGTCATGCATTCTGTTCCACATATTACTTTTAAAAAATGTAGTAAGCAGTATTTACAGTAGTATAAGCAAACTACACTATGTTAGGAATAGAAGACTAGCCTGATTCTCACTGAATTCTCTTCAGGACATTACACTGAGTGAGAGACAGTAGCAATACTCCATGATGAACACTTCAAACAGCAGTGCACTAGATAGGTGTCACATATAGACATTAAAGCCAGCTTGTCATTTTGTTTGATTTTCAGGTACTTTATTGCTTCCAATCAAGCTGATTGGTTTGAATTATGGTTTGTAATGCTTTACAGTTTTTACAATCTCTAGGACACATTTCTCAATACTTAGGTCACTTTTTCTAAACTCTTCACACGGCGAGCACAGCATCAGTCTCTGTGGATAAACTGTGGATCATTTATCATTGCTTTGGCGCAAAATGCATTCATTGACGACATCTGTCAAATTACATGAACTCTTTTCTCACTTTGACACAAACACCACCAAAACTCTATGTACTAACTACACAAGCCAATTTGCACATGTTTACGCACTGTTTTCAAAACTGTTAAACGTACAGTAAGTTCAACACCTTGCACAGTACAAAAATGAATAAGACAGAAATGTACAACATTTCTACAGTAATATCATATAGAAAAATATTCTCAATGTAAAAAATCAAAGCAGTTGCATGGAGCTGAACATCTTCACAAGTGTTCGTCTTTCACTTTCATTACCATCTATACAAAACTTCACTTTCATAACAACCAAAAGGGGAAAACTTAGGAATAATTTTGTACTGTAATGTAAACATGCACCATCTAACATATACTACAGTGAATTATAAAACAGTAAAGAGTATCATTCTTGTTTTGTAAAGACATTTTACAAAAGAAATCATTATATAATGCTACCTGTTGTTAGTGATTGTTAGGTTGTTGTGTTGTGAGTGATAAAGTGCTGAAAACCTTTGCTAGTGTTATGGAAGAATGACTTGATTTGAGACATGAATGAAGTGTTTTGGTAGTTTTAGTGCATTTCGAATGTGAAATGATCTGCTGTGTCGAGCTGAAAGAAGGTTAGATATGAAAAAGTTACTGTAGTATTGAGAAATGTGTCCTAGTGATTGTAAAAACCTGTAATGGAGATTTTTAAACAACCACTGTGGGAAAAATGAATGGAGAAAATGGTTCTGGAACCAGCAACACTGAAAAAAATGAGACTGACGGGTGTCAGAAATAAAAATGATTATTTGCTGATTTTATTCATTTATTGAAAGCATTGTGCGATAGCCTACTAGCTAAATTTGGTATATATATATATATTTCTGTCATGACATCTCTCGGAGGGATTGGCATGGTAATGTACATGACAATGTTAATGTATTTGGTCTTGGCGGAATAGATCTGCTACGCTGCTGCTGCGGCAGAGCAAGTACCGAGACTTACTGCCAATACATCCACAACATGCTGCTGTGAGCGTGTAAGAAATACTGCTGCTGAAAATATACCATACATGAAATAACCCCCCACAAAGCAGGAGACATAGAAGGGACAATACAAGCCCAAACAAGACAAAACACCCCCCAACAAGCAGATCTATCGCCAAGACATATGTACCAAAGAGCCATGTGAACCACATGTATTACTATCTATGTGAGCCTTGGCTACCACGCCGACCTAATTGTCATTCATATTTGACGATAGTGGTCCTGACAGAACTGCCTTTAACTGAAAATTGAGTGTTTACTATTGTCATTTTGCATTATGCACTATTTTCCTAATTAATGCTGTACAGTTGCTTTGACACAATCTGTATTGTTAAAAGTGTTATATAAATAAAGGTGACTTGACTGGACTTGACTTCTCCACTTCATCAGTCCCAGCGGCAGTGTAACATCTTGTTAATTCATGTTCGTGCAATGATGAGACAAAGTTAGACGATGCATACCATTTGACTCTCTCGTGTATATAAAAGTTGTCAAAGTTACAGTGCACAAAAACCCCTGGGTGGACTGACCTGAATGAACTGAAATAAAAGCAGAATATAAATGTTCTTTTTCCGTTTTCTGAATTACACAGCACAGTGCCGCCAATGTATATGGAGAACCCCCGTTGAAATGCATACACAAGAATGCTTATTTCATTTAATCTGTTTCGTGTCTGTTACTATCGGCGTGTCATCGTAGCGATTACGTATGCTCTAAACTGCGTTTGCTCCAGCTATATAAACACAGATGCTAAATGCTGCTGCTAATATGCTTAATATTTGCTAACGATTCTGTGTTTTTCTGTCAATATGGGGTGTTGTGTGTACATTAATGAGGAAAAAAAATTAACTTAAATTATTTTAGCAAATGGCTGCAATATAACAAAGAGTGAAACATTTAAGGGGGTCTGAATACTTTCCGTACCCACTGTATATACCGTATATGACAGAAAGAGTACAGGTAGTGTTGCATGCTGTAGTGTTTGCATGTTACTGTATACAGTAAGAGTGTGTGTGTGTGTGTGTGTGTGTGTGTGTGTGAAGGTTCTGCAGGATCTGTTCGGGCTGAAGATCAGCTCTCTGGTATTGGCTCACCCAGAGGTCGGCGAGGGGTCAGCAGATGAAGCCCCGCCCCTCTCACAGACGCGTCACGGTAACGCCGCTCCGTCACGCGTGTTCCTGGATCTCCTGGGCCGTCACAGGAAGCTGCCGGGGCGGAGCAGGAAGGGCGTGGCACGCGGCTGCTTCGGGATGAAGGTGGACCGGATCGGGGTCATCAGTGGACTGGGATGCTGACTCTCTCAGGTACACACTATTTCCACTGAGATGACACTATCATATGACAGAATTAAAGCTGTTTGGCATTAGTCCTGCATTGTTAGTTTTGATGTATCTTTTTTGTGTGCAGGTGATCGTGACCTTCAGCTGGCAGCATTACAGATCCTGCTCTTCTGTTGGTGTTTGTGTTGTTTTAGCGGCTGTTGGATCATTATTTCTGTCCAAATGGCTGTGATGAGCGGATGTGACGTGACCGACTGCAGCGGCTAAACTCAGCGTTTGACTCTTTCTGCAGAACACAGAACTTAATGTGTTTGTCTTCTAAAGATCCTGAGGTTTTCTCAGCAGTGTGTGTGTGTGTGTGTGTGTGTGTGTGTGTGTGTGTGTGAGTGTGAGTGTGTGT